AAAAAAAAAAAAAAAAACAAGATGAAGCACAAATAAAGAATCATAAAGCAAAGAGGAGAAATCACAATAGATCCAGCAGAAATAAAAAAATAATAATAATCAGAGAATAATATGAACATCTATATGCAAACAAGTTCGACAATTTCGCAGTAGTGGACCAATTCCTACATCTCTACAACCACCCAAAGCAAAATAAAGAAGAAATAGAACAACTAAACAAGCCAGTTACAAGCAAGGAAATTGAAGAAATAATCAAAACCCTCCCCCAAAATAAAAGCCCAGGACCAGATGGGTTTACAAATGAATTTTACTGAATGTTCAGAAAAGTAGAAGGAAAACTACCACATACTTTCTACAAAGCCAACATCACACTAATACCAAAACCTAACAAAGAAAACACACAAAAAAGAAAACTTCAGACTAATCTCCCTAATGAGCACTGATAAAAGAATCTTCAACAAAATCTTAGCCAACAGAATCCAACAATGCATTAAAAGAATAATACACCATGAACAAGTGGGCTTTATCCCAGGAGCATAAGGATGGTTCAACATCAGAAAATTAATTAATATAATTCATCACATCAACCAACCAAAAAATAAAAACCACATAATCATATCAATAGATAAGGAGAAGGCATTTGACAAAGTTCAACACCCATTTATGTTTAAGGCCCTCAAAATCTTTGAAATAGAAGGAACATGTCTCAACATTATAAAAGGCATATATAACAAACCCACAGCCAATATTATCCTCATTGAAGAAAAGCTGAAAGCCTTTCCTTTCAGAGTAGGAAAAAGACAAGGGAAACCACTATGGCCCTTGCTCTTCAACATAACATTGGAAATTCTAGCCAGAGCAATAAGACAGGAAAAAGACATAAAAGGAATCCAAATAGGGAAAGAAGAAGTAAAACTTCTTATTTGTAGACAATATGTTAATTTACATGGAAAACCCTAAAAACTCCACAAAAAAAACTAAACAAAACCACCAACCAGTTTAGCAAGGTAGTAGGATATAAAATCAACACCCAAAAGTCAGAGGCCTTCCTATACACAAACAACTAATTAGAAGAAGCAGGAAAAATGAAACAAACAAACAAACAAACAAAAACAAAAAAAAAAACCTTTTCAATTAAAACAAAAAGAATCAAATACATGAGAGTCAAAATACCAAAAGAGGTAAAAGACCTATACAAAGACAATTACAAAACACTATTAAAAGAAATACAAGAAGACACCATTAAATGGAAAGACATCCCCTCCCTGCTCCTGGATCGGGAGAATTAACATAATCAAAATGGCCATCCTGCCAAAAGCGATATACAGATTTAACGCCATCCCACTAAAAGTCTCAATGACATTCTTCAAAGAAATAGAAAAAATATTGATGAGATTCATATGTAATAACAAAAGACCTCAAATAGCCAAAACTCTCATGAATAAGAAGAGAATGGAGGCATTATAATCCCAGACTTCAAGCTATACTATAATAATCAAAAGTGCATGGTACTGGAACAAGAACAGACATAAAGACCAATTGATTCAGATAGAAAACCCAGATATAAACCCACAGGTTTATGGGCATCTAATTTTTGACAAAGGAGCAAAGAAGATACAATGGAACAATGAAAGTTTGTTCAGCGAATGGTGCTGGGAAGCTACATGCAAAAAAAAAAAAAA